TCAGGGGTAAAGCTGTAATGTGCCAATATATTTTACCTCTCTATGAGTGGCTATATGTAAATCTCAGCCACCTAAAAAATAGGATAAAAACCTAAACCTAAAGTGACTATAACAAAGAGTAAAACTTATATTCCACCTAGAGATGACATCAGACTACGCAATATTTTTAAGATACAATAATCACTGTGTCAAATAAGGTGAGTAACACTAGGCCTGTTAAACTATATTATTTTAGAGCAGCGAATTTCATCAAGTGAAAGGCCTGGAGGCCAAACAGTTCTTTCACCTGTCATTAAGAATGCCAGGACATAAAATATAATTAGCTATGTTGTAATTCCACAGCATTCTTCCTCACAAAACACAATCAAGTCTCTCTGATAGGCCTCAGTGTTAAACTAACTGCTGTCTTCTTTCCCCTAATAGTATTTTTACTCAGCTTTTTAATCTTCTGCAAGTTGATGCATGAACAATCACAAAAGAAAAGCATATAAATCTTTACTACGCTTAATATTTCACTACCCGTAAAAATAAGGTTAGAAACAGTTCCATCACAGAGTCCTTTGTTTCATTATATGTTCAAACTCTATAGCCTGTTGATTGTCTTAAATCAAGCTCTGCAACTTATCACTCCATTAATTACTTAGTCTTTGTTTGGGTAGCTCTTTCAAATCTAACGCACACCAATGATAAATGGTGGATGAAGACAAAATAATGACTATGAGACTTACCTGCTCATAGTGTCATCATCCTCAGAGTCACAAAAGCTGGTAGTTTCCAGCTCACTGCTCATCACTGTGCTGGAACTCTCATAACCTGCAAGGTGGCGCTCCAGGCGACTTTGGCCATTTATCCTTGGCCCTGGAAGACAAGAGAAAGAATTGCAAACAAATGAAGTCAGACACTCACTGGGATCTTTTAATTTTTCCACAATATTTTTAGATCATGTGACATTTAGATCCTCCATGCTAAAAGGAAGCAGTTTTTTGTCAACACATTGCAGTTGCGTCTCTCACCGTGCTGCTCCATGCCCTCTCTGTGACGAGGTCTCTCTCTCCTGAAAGAAACTACAGACTCAGTTTCAGTCTGGTCGTCCAAAGTCTCCACACTGCCTGTGGCATTGGGACTGTAAAAAAGGAAAACAAGAACACAGTTGAACCGAGGAGAAAAACTGGATTTAGGGGTTCTCAAATAACAAATCCTTAGTTCTGGTATCAACTATTATAACAATGCAGCTATAATTGAGAGAATTGTGGCTCCATCATCATCATCAGACTCAGTGAAGATTTAAATTCCAAGCATTCCTCTACACTGTCAAAGTCGAGCACCCTCATAACAAGTACTTTAGTCTGCTAGCTACTAGTTATGAAAACAGCAAATAACATTATTCTAAATATTCTTCTCCACCTTTAAGGTTTGACATTTCTTCAAATGTCACATATGTAACAGGTTTAACAAATTCTTCTCTTTTATGTCCAAGTTCACTAAAAAAAAACAAAAAAAAAAACAGAGGGCATTAAATAAAGCTTAAACGCAAGAAAGGTTTGAATAAGAGTTGACAGTTTTAATCCCCAACTTTATATACATTTTGATCTGCACTTGAATTCACTGTAAACTCATTGTCTTCATAGAGGATCAGCTGTTTGGTTGCTTTCAGATCCCGATGGCGTTCAAGGGTTGGCTTTTGTATAATTCCTGCTCTATAGACAATACGATCCGGTTACACTTGTCACTTCAATTCAGTTCATGTCTGACCACAATAATGTGTATTATTATGAGCTCATGTTACTCTGTGTTTGCAGAAATAGATGAAAACTGAAACTTTTGTCTGTTCAGGCTGCAGTGAGAAGATCAGATGACGCAGGAGCCATTCGCCTGTCAAAATAAGCATGGCTTCATAGGTGTTGATAAGGAAGATTAGGTTTTATCTTTCATCATGGTGGGATTTCAGGAAAGATGACATGAAGCTGGTAGTTGTATCCAGTGGTGGGTGATGTCATCTGGGCTACTGAACAGATTCAATGCAATGGAAATAAACACAGGACTGCAAATACAATTTTGACAGTTCTGTAGTTGTGAAGGAAACAAATCCATAAACTGGATCCCAAACAGTCTGCTGTTTAAATGCAAATTACAATATAGTGATATTGAAAATACCTCAGTAAACCACCATGAGTACCACAGTTTTGTGTCATGAGCAGTTTTCACAGGGAAAGTGTTTGTACTAATGCAAAAAAAAAAAAAAAAAAAAGAACTTGGCTCCATCACACAGTCTCAGTGACGTAACTATGTCATGTAAGTTTCCACTGCGGGGCCACAGAGTTAATCACACTGCAAGCACAACGTGGATAATGGATGTCTGACTGGTCTTTAATTCTATACTTCCTGTAAACCACATAATTAAAGAATTTATTCAGTTTCATTTGAAAATGGACTAGAAGAAAAACAGACGACTGTCCAGAAACCAAAGGAGACACTTGGTCAGGAGGTGGTCTGCAACTGTAAACAAATAAACAGCCTGAATGGGAAGTTGCACTGATGTGTGTGAACTGGGACTGACCTCTACATCAATCTAAATAGATTTAGACAACATTCAGAGAGTATGCAACCTGTGGCTCATGTACAAAACACACTATTGAACAATACATCCACTACACAGTAAAGTAGTAGTAGCAGTAGTAGTGCACATTGCAGTGTTTGCAGTCACTGGCTTATCTGTGACTGTCAACTGTGGTTTTTAAAGAAATCAAGTTTGAGCCGTATTTCAGCTGGTTGCTAACAAAACAACACATAATGCCATTGGTCTCTTCTACCAAAGCAAGTTATGAAATAAACATGTTGCAGTAGGAAAATGCAGCTTTAATGAATAACCATCCGTTGGAGCCTAAAACGTGATAATTCCATGTTATTCCTGCACAGTATTGACCTAAAAATATTAAACAACAAATTCGGAAAAAAAATAACACAATCAGCTACAGTAAATCAGCTACTAGAAGTAGCTGATTCATTTGCAGCACACCTTGGAATTTTAACTTTTCTTTTTATTGAAACATATAGGCAAATATTTTAAGCAATGAAAAAAAAAATCAGACCTAACTAATTTCCGGTGTCAAATGTTTTATTTGTTTTTGAGGAAAAACATCTGAGGCATTGCATTACCAGAAAGCAGAACTGTTTTAACAGTGCACTTAACTTACAGTATTACAACTATGTTTATAGCACTCCCTGCAGGGGAGGGAGGGAATGCTATACGTTTAATAGCATTCCCATAA